TGCTGCAGGGAACAGACTCCTTTTACATGCAGCCACAGGTGGAGAAAAGACCAACAGCAGCCGGCTCTAAGTGTAGACATAGGATTGTAATGCTGTTAACTGGGCAAAGGCCACATTCAGTGTTTGTGTTATCAAGATGGAATAAAGCCTGTGGTTACCTGGCCTCCCTCTTGACTTCTCCCAACCTGGAACAGCCTGGACTTCTAAGGCTAGTTACTGGTTTATGAGCCAGGGTTAAAGCAGCTTAGCTATGTACCAGAGGTCCCCATTTATGGCTCGAGGCTGCAGATCTGGGAGGGTAACATCATATTTGAGAAAGTTACAGCTAAAAAGGAAGTTGGATGCTGCAAAAAGTAAAATCAGAATTAAATATATCTAAGATTTTAGTTTTAACATTGTTTTTTTTTTAAGAGCAGTGTGATATTTAGGAAATGCACTAGTTTTCTTTCTTGCAGCCTCTGGTTGTGAAATATGAAGATAGACCCAGCAAACAATGAGCTTATCCCAGCCTAAAACCATGAAACAGGGAAAGCTTGGCTCTTGCCAATGGTAAAAGAAAATCAATAAACATAGCAGCCTCCAAAGCTGATTAATTAACACATTATGTCTTGTGTGCTTCATCAGTACAAAAACTCAAGTGAAAATATATCGTGTTCTGGCTCTATGTGGTCTTATGTGTGGGATTAATCAAATGAGGTATGTGTTAATCAGTGAGCTCTGGAGACGCGGTGAGCACAGCCAGGCTTCCTGTTTTTGTGCTCCTTATATAGTGTAAGAAAGCAAATAAGCATATTGCCCCAAAACCTCTGCTTTACTTTAATTTCAGCATGATATTTTTTCTGTGAACAAACTATCACTCAATCTAAATTCCATTTGTTTGCTAAGTATCAGTTGAATTAATTGATGAGTTGTCTTATACCTGTTTCTTCAGTCAGTGCTTCTGGGAGGTTGAACAAAGATGCCTCATTGACAAAATGTTCATTCATTGTTCTCATAGCGGTGTCAGATCTAAATTTATTTTTATATTTTGTGCATTGCTCAGATTCAAGTAAAGAGCTAGTTGATGTGCTGTCGTCACAGCTTCCCACTCCATGCTCTCTCCTCCTCGAGCTGCTCAGTAAGATGTACACTCTCTGTCTCTTTGTCTTCTCCAGACAGTCTTCCATGATGAGTGCAAATTCAAGGAGAGTTTGCTCCCGAACAACTACAACGCCTATGAGTCTGTGGTTTACAGAGGATCCTACATAGCACTCAGCAAGCATGGCCGCGTGAAGAGGGGTAACAAGGCTACCACTGCTATGACTGTAACGCACTTCCTCCCCCGAATACGATGAAGCAAAAGCAGGCAATAATAAACTTCTTTGCACATGTGGATTATTTCACAGGTAACATAGATACTGCATACGTACGTACAAACACAAAAGACAAAGTGAACTGGAAAAGAAAGAAATACAACTATATCAGATAATATTTATTCAAACTTTATATGTATATTTGGGTAGATTACTTTGTGTTAGAAAAATCAAGGAAATGCCATTCTTTGCTGCTTTTATGATTTCCATCATTTTGTGATATGAAGGGGATGGAGAGGTGTCCCCTTAAGTTTTTATGGGTGCTTGCTGGAACAGACTGAGTCCTTGCCCTCTCAGTGGATGACAGCTCATCCTTTTGGAAATGAAATGGATACGTTATTACCTCAAAGCACCATATCCTGCATAGAAGAGGAAGAAGGAAACGAGAAATCTGTGCATGAAATTTCTACAGAGTTTAACTGTTTTTGTTGTCATCCATCAAAGACTTGGACATTTTCCCATCTATTATGTTTGATGGTGTCCGTTACTGTCAGGGTGACTAGAGCACTTGCAATTACAGTGGTTGTTTTTTTTTTTTTCTTGCTTTGTCATGAGGTGGCGGTGCCTTCAATTCCTACTTGCGGCCCCCTTACCCTTCCCCCTCCCAATTTCTTGCATGCAAGAAATGTGGTGATCAAGTCAGAAATAGGAAAGAAACACAAGTCATCACTCCCTCATAAACTGTTGGCCCAATTCCTACAGGGCCACAGGTTTCCCCACTTTATTTTCTTTCCATTATTAGATCAATTAAGGACTTGAGACTCTATGTTGCACAGGACCCAGTGGAGCCTCTTGTGAATATGGAAAGCTAGATTTAAACTCTGCACTCGACACTCCCCATCAAGTTCAAGGAAGCTTTGACAATCCTGGGTTGTACTTTCACCTATTTTGTAGCTTGATCATTAGGCCAGAGAGTGTGTGTGTGTGTGAGTACATGTGTGGGCTATGCATGTGTGCAGTTGCTCAGTTTGAGAGCTACTTCATTTTAAAGGTTTTTTGTCTTTCCTTGTGTGCTAGGGGGCACCTATGTAGCAGAATATTATAGACCTGATACTATGAAGCATAATGTCCCTCATTTCTGTCTGGTTTATGTTACGTACCCCCTGTTCAAATGAAGTTGCATCTAGTCTGTAGACTTGGCACTTTGTTTTTGATGACTTACACTATTTTAATGAATTTGTTTTTGACATTGTTGAGTTTGTAGCAATAGGAGCTTTTTAACTTTCACACTGGTTTGATGATATTTGGCACCTGTCATTGACTAGGCGGTTGATGGCCTGGTGCGTTCATTTAAAAGTGTAAAGAAATATTTAGGAAAGAGCTGGAATGATCCTGGGATTAGTGAACAAGACTTCAGGTAACTCAGTCTGTCTGATATTTAGATGGTTTGGATTGTGCTTATTGATGCCAGATTTTTTAAAACTATTTATTCAGATTGGTCACTAAGCCACAGCATGGCTTCTTGTGAAACAACAACAAAAGCTATGTTACAAAAAAGGAGTGAACCAAAGAGTTATGTTAGAATTGTTCATTCAGACTTTGAATACTTGAATTCAATAACTGCTCCAGCTTCTGTTTCAGATATTGTAGTTTTCCACTGTTGAAATGAAGAAAACAAAGAGCTGGTGAAGTTCAAGATAGCAGTAATGTACATGGGACACTTATGGGACTCTGCATGTGGCACTGGTTGTTTGTTTAACTTGTCTAGGATGTGGGTAATGCAGGATACAATGCCTAGCATCAGACTAGTGGGCCTGTCATCGGTCCGTGTCAGACCTGACAGTCAGCACAGGAGTCTGGGATTCTTGTCCCAGGCATCTGAGGCATTTTTATGCCAAGGTCAGAGATGAAGGCTTTTTGTCCTTTGTGTTACTGATATGGGCATGTTTGCTGGTCCAGCTCAGTGACTTATACCTTGTTGTTTTATGGAACTCTGCACCTGTTAGGTCATTTCTAGCTCTAGCTTGTGACTCATCTGCTACATTCAAAGCACAGAAATAATCTTCTGTTAACCAGCAAAATTAAAACTTGGCGACCATTTTAACCCCATACCGTCATTTCCTAACACCCGCCCAAATTCTGAAGGGATTTCCCGAATCCTCTAACAATGCAGAATAAAAGATAATCCGGTCCACTTCAGGAAAATTATCACTTTAATTAGTTTCACAGCTATGTCTAGTCTTCACATATAAAAAAAAGATGGCGACAGGAAATGTCGTCATCACTCTGGCTTTGTGTGAAAATGGCTTGACTTCATGTATTATTTAATCAATTTCAATAATAATTTCACTTAAATTTCAATAATACAAGAGTAATAATAATATAATAGGTTCCAATGATACATTCATGCTCAACTTTCAAAAAAGAAAAGTGAGAGAGATGACATTATTTTCTGTTGCCATCTTTACTGAACTGAAAAGAAACTGTATGACTTGAAAAACTGACTAAAATTATATTTTTCCTGGACTGGACAAGATTATTTTTGATTCCATATAATTAGAAGACTGTGAGGATTCAGAAACTACCTTCAGAATGTGGGCGAGTGTTATGAAATGATGGTATGTGGTTAAAATATTCAACAAGTCTCAGTTCTGTATGTTCAAGGAAGATTATCTGTGTGACTTGAGTGTATGTAATGCATGAGTCACAAGTTGGGGCTAGGTCAGTTCTTGATCAAGACAAGAAGAGTTGTCTGTTAATGTGCAATAAAGAGCAGAGCCCTTTTAATGCTGAAATGGAATGCAGCTGAAGTGGGCTTTTGATGATTTGGAGTTTCAGTGCATGACCTGCCATATTCTGTAAGTAGTAAATTAGCAGTCAGACCAGTGTGGTAAAATATGTTTTACCTCATGTCATTTGTAACATTACTGAGAGGTGGTTTGCCTGCCCTTTAAGCTCATCTTCCTGTCTAGTAGCAGAGATGAATGTGCAGTATCTGGTCAGAATGAGTGTATATGTATGTACTGTGTGTGTGTGTGTGTGTGTGTGACTGAGCACACTCCTGTCATGTTCTGTTTCTGCCAAAGCACAGTAGAGATAGTATCAGATTAATTAACTTTGAGTCAGGAATAACAGGGCATTGTCTGACTGTGCATGCTGATGTACTGTACTCTCCTCCCAGGAGACGATAAAGATGAGTGGGATGGAAAAAGTAACACAGAGGCTAGTGAAGGATGGCTGTCAAATAATTTAAAAAAACACTGACTGTGGTTAAAGGTGGTAGTTACTGTAGCAAAAAGGCCACATAAAAAGAATCAAATGCTTCCAGGAGAGGGACACTTGAGTTAACAGACTGTCTGGTCGACTGAATACTGTGATCTGAGAGAGCAACTCGACACTCCCAGGATGTCATATTTCATGTTTTTGAATATGGACATTATTGTCTGTTGTTTTGGGGGGATTTTTGCCTTGAGCATCTTATCGCTCATTTTTATTGATCAGCCTTTATGATCAGAATATGATCGGTGTAGCTTTTTCGGGGCTGATTTTGTGGCAGCAAAGAGCTGGTTGGACAGATATTTTGGCAAATTTGTCAAAATATACAAAATGTGCAACGTTTTTTATGTAGTGCAATTTGCTCAGCAGGGGTAGATGCTGTTCTCCCTTGCTATGCTTTCATCAACACAAGCTCACATGCAAGCTCAAAAGTACTTGCTTTTTGATGACAACATTGTGTCAATTACTGTAAGTTTATTTTTGATTTTATTATAGTATGTATTAGAGGACACTGTTAGCACAGCAAGCAGACTGGGAATAGTAAAGTGTAAAGTGCAATGGCTCCTCCAGCTGTAAAAGACACCTGATAAGTTTCTATTGAGGGACATGAAGTTGATATTGTTTACTCCAAAAGCCACTTAGCTTGGTGTCAGATTTTCAAAGCTTGAGAAGAACTGAGAGTCTAAGGGAAAAATTCCCCTGTTACAACTTTTGCATGATATTATTTTGAGGCAGAAAAGGTTGTATGATATAGCAGTAACTGAGAGAAAGTAATTAATGCTAAGAAAAATGTAGTCCTTTAGCATTAACCCTTATTTTCTTAATTCCTCATTATGCATATAGGTGTGTGTTACCCTTTTGATTACGGATCCAGTGTCTGGATTTTGCCATTGTGCTCATCATACCTGTTCAGCTGGTTTTCAAATGTGTTGGTTCACAGGGAAGCGGAGGTCTGTGGGAGGATCTGGGATCAGGCTTGTGTGCGTGTGTGCATGTGTGTGTGTGTCCCTGTGTGCCAGCAGCCTTTGTGTTTTTCTCTCAGTTTTCTATTCCTGCACTGGGGGAGAGTGCTTCCTCTGAGTCCCCCTCCTCTTTTTTAACATATACCTCACCTTCTGCCTTAGTTCCGATTATTGAAATGATTGTAAATTAGTTTGAAACAACAGACTTCTCCAATCATTTGTTTATGAAAATTATGATAATGAGTAAGTAAAATACTATATTACAAATGGTTTTCCTTTTATTTTTGTACGTATGTGCTGTGCACAGCAGTCAACTGTGTTCCTGAGATGGTAATAAAAGATGTTTTGTAAAAATTGTTGTGATAGAATGCTTTAAAGCTGAGAATTATTTCATGCGTGACACTGATTTGTTATTAGAACTGGAGAGGAAACTGTCACTGGCAGAGAAACCTCAAGCCAAAGTCATGTCTGATAATTTAACATGCGGTGCCCTCTTCTGGTAAAGATGTCAAAGTAAATGTAATTGAAAATAAGTTGAAGCAGACACCGAATTAGTGCCGAACACGATGCTGTTTGTTTTGGGTTCTATAGGTAAAACATTTCATGGACATGACTATGGAAGCTAACACCAATGACAGATGGAACAGTGGCAGCGTTCAGTTACAATTAAATCAATGTTATGAAGTGTTAAAGTACTGTAACATTTTAGTCAGCTAGTCAGATCAAAGGTGTCAAACTTGTCCACAGAAAAATGTATATTTCATCTTAGGTTTCCAACAGTAAATACACAATGCATTTACATTTACTTGGCTTTAAATTGAGCCCTTTCAAGGAAATTCCTGAAAATAAACAGCTGCGTTTTCAAATGAACCCAACTAATCTAACTCAAAACTTGGTATTAATACCGAGTTATGTGGAAATAGGACACCTGTAAAATAAAGTGGCAACCTTGAATCTTTTTCAGGGATTAAAGTTTATTATTATAATTTTTTTAATTGTCAAGGGCTCAGGGACATTTCTCATTTTTTTCAACAAGGAGAAAACATGAAAATTGCCACAACTGAGGTTATAAGGCTTCCTAATCAGAGATGCCAGTTATGCACTCCAAGAAAGGATGTGAGAGGCTGCTGACATGTGTACACTTGATAAGCACAACTGAACCAAATCTTCATTACACACCAGTGATTTATATCTAAGCCGTATAAGTCTCAACTCCAAGTCTGATTTAAGCAAATAAAGTCAAACAAAACTTATAGCAGTAGTTACTGCTACCCTTTTTCAAAGCCTTGAATAGAGAACTCAGAAACACAGGTGAGTCTAATTGAATCACTATCTCCATCATCCTTTCACACCCTCAGCTGTGTCTTCAGCCTCTCCTCTCATCCAGCCTCGGGTATTCCTTCGGTTTATCAGAAAAACAAATATTTTATTGGGCTGTATTTCCTGTCAGAGGAAACTGTGCTCCCTCATACTAATAATAAAGCTACCAGTAAAGGATTTGCATAAGGCAACCCTTAACCATAGCAACACAGGCAGCCTTTCAGTCATTTGGTAAATGAATTAGCCAGTTTATTGACCCTCTGTTTAAACAGCCCTGCTGGACTTTATCCTCCTCCAGTAGTTGTCTACACACACATCCTGAACATTTGTGCTGCGGGAGTAAAAAGAGCATGGTATCTGCACTGACCATGCAGCCACCTTTCTTCTCATTCCTCCTGACTGCTGTACATGTGTCTGTACTGGTGGACTGTAGACTGGGGCTGGAGGATCCAGAGCAGCGACCACAACATCTGCAGAGCTGCCTCTACACAGGAGCATATGCAGACACATCCAATGGTATGGGATGTTTCTTATCAGAGCCGAGTGAATCAATGAAAAGAGGGATTCAAAAATACATAATTTGCTTCATTACAAATTATTTTATTCATCTCATGGAAGAGAAGCCTATTAAATATTTAATGCAACTATATATAGATTTTTTTTCCCCAGCTTAGCTCAATTCATTCCTCAGAGGACAATAGCATGATTAACATTGTGTCTTATATTAGAGATAAAAGTAAACACATTTTGCATATGCGCATATTAAATAGATTTTTTCAGTATGACAGTTTTTCTAATATAACTGACAATGGCGTGTTTAAACCTGTTCTCTTACGGTTGTTTTGCCAGTAGAAGCAGACACAAGCAACTCTGTGTCAGTACTGGATGTGAGAAGAAAACAGTTGCTGTGCATGGGCCTAAAGGGAGAGCTAGACAACTCAGTGAGTTTTTTTGTTTTTTTTTAAGATGAACTGACTTTAATTCTTAATTTTCTTGTCAGGAAATGAAAGCAGGGCACACAATAATATTGAATACTTTATATTTGTCTTTTTTTTCTACTGAATAGAAGCAAAGGGACAAGGAAGGCTTTCTCCTCTGGCACATTTTGAACTCTACAAATGGAGGTCAGGCAGCTCACCAGGAGCTACCCGAACCCTCTTCACCTCTGCTCAAGACTATCCTGGGTGCCTTGGTAAGGAGACAGAGGAGAAGTGAGGAGGTGAACCCCTCTGATCCATTAAGATCACAGTCACATCCCTCATTTTCTGTCAGGGATCACAAGAACACATCTCACAGTCAGCTTGAACATGACCAGGCTGGCGCTGTGTCCAAAGAGACCATCACGTCCTGTGATGACCCCCTGAAGGTCTTACAGCCTAATGGGCCTGGCAGTCCTCTTAAGATTAATGTTGCAGAGCAAGACTAAGGGCTGCAAGCCGTTGTGTTGTTCTGAAAACCTCACTTCATGTTTGACTGCATCATGGAAGTAGGTAGCCTGTCATGTGTATTGCAGTATCAGTAAGAGAGCAAGAGATAGCAGTGAAAACCTTGTTATATCACAGCAGCTTGTACAGATCTTGTGTTTGAATAACAGATGAAGGATAGTTCTGGCAGCATTTGACATAATCATGAGGCAAGTCAGGTCCATGGTCCTGCTGTCCTTTAACCTTTTTCCTCAGTTAAACTGTAAACCTTGGGCCTGATATGTGGCAATGTTTGTTTTATCTACAAGTAATTAAGAACATGTTATCCATACATCAACTGAAAAACATAACAGAAATCAATGGTACATGGTGTTACTGAAAAGACAGGATCAAGTATCAGGTGCTGGACACCACTAAGTCACAGCAATGAAAAGGTATTTATTTATTGAAATGTGTTAAACGACGTCCATCCTAGCCTGGAGTTTTATTATTTATATGTTTCATGTCATGCTCTTTCTGATATAATAATAAAATAAATGTTATCCATTTGTATTTTTTTGAATGGTACCACCATTCAACAACTTACAACGTACAACATACTGTATAAACATTTCCAAAAAAAATAAAAAATCACATGGTTACTGTTCACAAAACCTCTTGGTTATGTAACTGGCAAATATAAGGCCTGGACAAATCATGTGCATCAGTTTAAGGTACTGCAAATGAACAAGCATGTTTACCAAAATGAAAGCATTATATTATGTTAAAAATCAAAGATAACATTATGCAAAGACAAGAAATGAGACAGAATAAGGAGTTTTATTAGAAGACATCTCTCATTGCTGAAGTCTGACAGTATTTTTATATTATAAAGTTACAAAATGTGACAACATCCACTTAGAAAATGTAAAATGATTTCCATATAATGTAGTCCCCTACTGTACATTCTCTTACCTATGGGCCTGAGGAAACAATGCTTATCTAAACACAGTGTACAATACAACACACAAGATCTTTGCATGCATTTGTCCTTGTGATCCAGTGTTAATTCACAATTGCAAGTCTGCTGTGTTCATATGAAAATTTATGAACTCCTGAAGCATAAATACGGAAAATCAGACTCACCAGAGTTGCCCACATTTATGACAATGAACAACCAGACAGTAATAAAGTGACCACAACATCATCCTGCAACACAAATCATCTAAGATTAAATGAAGGTGCTCAGTGGTGAGTGTTGGAGCTCTCTTTTGTTGCACTTCCCACTGTCTCACTGTCTTCTACACAGGCTTCAAAACCTCTGTCCCCTTCATCTGTCTCTCGCTCTGCTACTACTGTCTAATATGAGCCGCCCTGTGGACAAACACACAGCGGACCACTGACAATTTGAACAAGTCCTCCTCTTTTTTCAGGGTTAGTAAAAACCGACACAGACCTGTGTTAGGACTTAAAGAAAACACATGTGCTTTGTTAGAACCTTGAGGCAGAGAACAATGCAACTCCTCCACAAAGTAGCGTACAGCCACACACATGTAGGCCCCGTGGGTGACAACCAAAGCATGGACCGGGAGACCCTCAACTCCGTCATTTGCCCTTCCCTCCACAGGAGATGTTCCCGGTGGAGAAGATAAGGAGCTTTCATCCTTCCCTGCGTGATGCCAGTGTTCATCCCCAATTTGCTGAAGCATTTTCTCTATAAACCTTTTGACTCGCTCCTTTACCTGAACAGAGCAAAAGTCTGTTATAAACTGCTATCCGCTTCTCCTTTGCTTTCTTTCTACACTAATGGTACACCGTATCCCATGGAAACTGGGTCACCTGCAACTGTGAAGGGATAAAGTTAAAGGTCGGATCCAAAACAACACAACAAACACAACTCCAGTTTTATCCTGACACAAGAACCTGTACTCATTGAGGATAGCAGGGAGGGAGGCTTCTCGCTGCTCTGTGCTTATGTCAGACCTTTCTTTGTATATCGACATCATTATCATCACTGTGTGCGGGTTATGTACTGGGTTGGACCAGAGTTAACATCCAAGCCAAGACCTAATGGATGAAGTTTGAGTTTCTGCCACCTGGTGGTAGTGTGTGTACTGTGCATCAGGACACTTTGGGTGTATTCACAAAAGGAGGTAAATGTGCATAAAGACAATTTTGTTAACATATTTTCAATCAATCAGTGGCCAGTTTTCAGAAGACTAAACTAATCTTAGTCCATAGACTCACAACTGGAAAGTATATTCTTAAACTGAAGGTACAATTTTATACACACGAGGGATGTCTGTGAAGTTTTGAGATACAGTGGCAAGAAAACGTATGCAAAACTTTTGGAATTTCATGTTTTCTACATTAATTTGTCATAAAATGTGATCTGATCTTCATCTAAATGAAGAGTACTGACAAATATAATGTGCCTAATATAACAACACAAAAAAAATCTGATCTTTCATGTCTTTATTGAGAACAACCATAAAAACCTCCTAGTGTTAGTGGAAAAGGTATGTGAACCCTTATGTTAATGACCTCAAAACAGCTAATTGGAGTCAGGTGTTAGCATACCTGGAGTCTTGTTAAGAAAAAGAGTTTGGATGAGAGCTACTTTGACAGATAAAAACCCCTCAAACCTTTAGAGTTTGTTCCACACAAGAAGAATATCCTTATGTGAGCCATGCCTCACCAAAAAGAGCTTTCAGAAGATCTACGATCAATAAAGCTGGAAAGGGTTATAAAGTGAGTTCAAAGACTTTAAAAGTTCACTGGTTTACAGTTAGGCAAATGATCTACAAGTGGAGAGAGACACTTTGGGACAGTGGCTAAACTACCCAAAAAAGGGCGGCCCGCAGCTGCTGCTTACTAAAAAGAACATTGCTGCACGCCTGAAGTTTGTGAAAGAGCACATTGACACTCCACAGCGGTATTGGCAAATTGTTTTGTGGACTGATGAAACTAAGATTGAACTATTTGGAAAGAACACACAGCACTATATCTGGCGTAAAAAGGGCACTGCATATCATGATGAAAACATCCCAACCATAAAGTATGGTGGAGGAAATCATGATTCACATGATTTGGGCCTGCTTTGCTGCATCAGGGCCTGGTCAGCTTGCAATCATTGAGGGGAAGATGAATTCCCAAGTGTATCAAAAAATTCTTCAGGATAACGTGAGAAGGTTGGGTGATGCAACAGGACAATGACCCAAAAAACCGGAGCAAGTCCACAACAGAATGGCTTCAGAAAAACAAAATCCGCCTTCTAGAGTGGCCAAGTCAGAACCCAGACCTCAACCCAATAGAGATGCTATGGAATGACTTGAAGAGGAGCCATACACAGGAGACATCCAAGGAATATGACAGAGCTAAAGCAGGTCTGTAGGAAGAATGGGCTAAAATTCCTCCTGAACGATGTGCAGGTCTGATCCACAGCTACAGGAAGTGCCTGGTTGACGTTATTGCTGTCAAGTGGGGTCCAACCAGTTATTAATTCCAGGGGTTCACTTACTTTTTCCACTACCATTTTGAATGTTGAATGAGTGTGTTCAATAAAAACATGAAAGATCAGAATTGTTTTGTGTTATTATTTTAGGCACATTATATTTGTCAGTACTCTTGCCGTCCCTGGTAGGCTAGTGGTTAAGGCGCAGCGCTCTCGCTGCTGCGGCCCGGGTTCAAATCAGGGTTGCGCCAGGAAGGGCATCCGGCGTAAAACACGTGCCAAATGTCAACATGCGAGTCGTCAGTGTGACGATTCGCTGTGGCGACCCCTAAACGGGAAAAGCCAAAAGTGACTTTCATATTTGTCAGTACTCTTGACTTAGATGAAGATCAGATCACATTTTATGACAAATTAATGCAGAAAAGCATAAAATTCCAAAAGGTTCACATACGTTTTCTTGCCACTGTATCCACCTCTGACCCTTCTGCTTCCAGATGTTCAACATGGCCATACGCCACCAAGGGTTGGCACAGCATCTGTATTTTAATAATCGGGGAGAATGAACCTTTTTCAAATCTTTAGGGAAACAGGGGTCAAATCTATTTTTAGTTCATTTTGACAGACTGACAGTTGAAATTCAAGTATCTCAAAATAGCTACTTATCAAACACCACCAACTGCCAAACTTCTAAAGATGTTTTTCATCTGTAATTAATTCAGTTCTGCTGCTGTTGTACTTTATGTGCAGCAGCAAAAGGGACCTCATTTAATACCATCACACAAAATCATCTGATGCGATATGAAGCAGCTGCTGATTTAATACAGTGACTGCTAAATGTAGATGCTACCAGGTATAGTTTTATGGCCACTAGACAATACAGATGAACAGAAATAGGTTGTGGCTCTCCGTTTAAGGATAAATGAAGAGAACAATGGTTATTATAGTTTTATTACACAATTATCTTAGTTTGATTTGACTTTCAATCTTCATGCACGATGATGATGCAAAGATGTAGTATTTCAGATTCAGTCAGTTGTAGCTTTTAGTGTGGGACTATTAATGTTAGCGTATTAAAAGATGTGTAAGTATGCAAGTTAGTAAATTAATAAATGTACTAAAACTAGAATTTTCAATACAGTACTGTGAAAAACATGATCCAATCAATTTTAGTTAACAGTGGGCTTCCAAACGCATACAGTACGAGAAACGCCAAGGTGTGGGATAGATGTTAAAATAAGAAACAGTTAGTGTACTCCACGCTTTGTGAGCCACCACCGCAGCCTCACCTGCTCCTGCGTCTCCCCCCCTGGAGGTGTGAAGCCTGGAAAGGACTGACCAGCTGCCTTGGCCATCTCTTTCACATCCTGCAGTCGTCCCCCCTCTGCTATCCCAAAGTTCTGAAAAACACTACATCATTTACTAGGCAGCTCAAGTTATTTTAATCAGTAAATATGGTTTAAGTAAACGTTTATACTTTAGCTATAAAGTTAAAACATCACACAGAGAAGTATCACTCACTATCTCTTTCAGTAAAGGGTCACAGGCCATTTGTAGATCAGAACAGCTGCTGTTGTGTTTCATTATTGTTTCAGCAGTCTGGAAGGAAAGCAACACAGCTGAGACATACTGTCACTATCTGTCTATAAAGGGGAGGTTTGATAAAATGTCTAAGGTGTGAGTTCTCTGATTTAAAAGGAAGGGTATGAAAAAGTGACATATAGCCTTGCTCACAGGAACAATGTCCCAACATGAGATGATGTGTAAAAAGAGAAGTATTTTAGTGTACACACTACCAGTCAAAGGTTTGGACACACTTTCCTGTCCAAACCTTTGACTGGTAGTGTGTAATTACGTAACAGTCTAGTGTAGGTCCATGCTGGTACCTGCTGGGCCCGGAGCATGTCACTGACAAAGACATGGCTGAGCTTCACATCCTTCAGGTACCGGCCTGCAGCCTCAGCCTGCTGCAGCCCCATCTCAGACAAGGGTAAATCTATAGCCTGGCCTGGAGGATGGAAAACAGGAGAATGACAGTGAGACACAGAGCAAGCATGAGACAAAGAACTGATCTTACTTCTTAGTAAACTTACCTTGCAGCAGGCCTTCTTTGTTGTACTGCGTTTCCCCGCTGTAGAAATAAAAGTCTTATCAACATCAAAGTCCAGTATCAGCCCATTAGTTAAAGAAGCTCAGAGAGCCTGCTGTTCAAGTGTCATGGTTTCTTACAGGTCAAAGTAATGTTCTCTAAAACCCATACACATACAGACAATGGCAGAATACTCACATTTTTGGTTGATAATTAACTGATTTAACTATCAAAATTGTTGCAGATGCCTGTTAATTTTCTTTCAGCATCTCTTAGGCTGAACACAGTTGTACTTGTATAATTTCACAGATGTTCACCCTTTTGGAAGAAATGATTTATTTCATCTAAATGTTCTACTAATGGCCACAATCAGGAAACAGTGGATTGTGTCTAGAAAATGTGTATTATTGAAGCTAAATTTCTGAACGAAATAATCACGTTTTACAGCCGTACAGATTTACATGACCACATGCTGATGACGCACAGGCCTGCTGAGTAGTTTCCATTCATCCAGCCCACGGACAGGATCAGTCATTCGTTCATCGCTTCTGACCTCTGGTGGTCATTATGAGGCACTGCAGCGTCGACACCAGCACACACTGCACTACACTTGGAACTAGCAGAGTCCCGTGCTAGCTGCTTATAGAGGTCTCCGTGTTCACGGCTAGTAACCTCCCTGTGTGTGCTGGAGTTATTATAAAATGAGGCTGCATTATAAAAAACAGTCAGGCTGTCCACTGCTAAGTCTCTCTGTGCAGTAGTGTAACTGTGACACCTACTAGGGAACAGCATCTGACTAGCACGAATTTGTTTAACATGTTTGCTAACAGCTACCCAAACACACGGAGTTTGTCCAAACAACATCAGGTCCACAGACAGAGACCGTGTAACTTTAACGTTACTGTGTCGAAATGGGAGAGGCGAGCAGCAAAAGCATTAAATATAAACGACAACTGCACTTACTGTCGAACAAGAGTTAGACCAAATGTGAGCGCTTTCATGCTCTGAAGGTTAACGACGGAGTAAGGACGCATTAGTTGCCTCTAAAGAAAGCTGCCCCGGGGGACACCTACAGTACCCGAGTCTTCCTCCAGAGGGCGCCGACGACAACTGGTCAACATTGTTAGCACGACCACGGTACTTTCACAAGTGCTCGGAATGACATGTATACAGTGATATGTTTTTACATCGGTCATTAATCTGCCAGATACCAGATACTACAAATTAGCAGAATGAACTTCAGCCCGTCTTCTGTTTGGCTGAATGAAGTTATGAACACTCCACACACCTGTGATTAATTAAGAATACGACTAATTCACTGCTTTCTTTACATTCATTTAAAACACAAGAGTGTTTTAACCAGTACAAATGAATGAATGAATGCTAAAACATTTATTATTTAGGTCATACGATATGATATGTACTGGACTGCATTATATTCACAGGGGTCTCTATATTTTGGTCCTCCCAATTTACCTACTTGAGGGGTTCACAATATTAGAAACACACCTCATACAGTTCATACATTTCTCACTATTTCACCAAAACCGAAACATTATGAGCTACATAAAGATACAGATACCTGAATAAATGAGTGGTCTCTTCCAGGATGACAGCGCCCCGCCCACAGGACATGAGGGGTCACTGAAGGGCTTGATGAGTATAAAAATAAGGTGAATCATATGCTGGGGCCTTCATAGTCACTAGATCTCAACCCAGTTGAACACCTCTGGGAGATGTTGGAGCAACATGTTAGACAGCGTCTCCACTACCATCATTAAAACACCACATGATGAATGGTGGTGTTCAGTCCTGTAGATGAGATCAGAGAATTGTAGAGTCAATGCCAAAGAGCACTGAAGCTGTTCTGGTGGCACGTGGTGGCCCCCACTGAGATACTTTTTGTTGACTTGTGCTTTCACTTTTATAAATTAATTTAGTTTTCAATTTGTTCCCCATCACATTTCTGTTTCCCAGTAGTCGGTGGTGATTTAAAGAAGAGTGGTCAGAGGCCAAGAGTCATATTTTCTGATTAACTTTTGCTGAACATACTGTGTTTATTCAACCAACCGGAACTATCAATGCATTCAATTTTTCTGGTAAACATTTGCAGGAAGTGATTAGCATCCAATTTTCCTTGGATTCTGGTGAGAGGAACATATATTGCCCCATACTCTTCATCACTACTTATGTAACCTTCAAGTAGTACAACTGAATTTTGCTCTGCAGTATCAGTGCTGACTATACACAGCCACACACACACACACACACACACACACACACACACACAAACTAACCTATTGATCATGAAACAACTGAAAACAGCTGAAAAGGAACACAGGCATGGGAAGTAGTGAGCTGATGTGGTGTCACACCCTTTAAAGCAGACGTTTATTGAACAAAGGTTGTGCAACAGACATTTGAGGTACATGATATGTGTTCTAGTGAGTGGGTGGCTGGGGTAGGGGGCGGTGGCAACTCAAAGGGAAATCTGCACCACTGAAACTTCCAGATATCAGAATATTTATGGTGCACTTGACAGGTATAGCTCAACCCATTATTCTCTGGCAGTTACAGTGGTGCGCACACACATGATTCAGACCAAAACGCAACTTTCTCATGTACAGAATCCATATTGACTGACATTCAGAGTGATTGTGGTTGTATAAAGCAAGAGCTGTACTTTGGCCATCATGGGAATGAGTGCTGGTTTTCCCCTCTCTTTCCCCTCTCTCACACAACAAATCAGATGTAGCACCAACATGAACACAAATGAACATGCTTGAACTATCTATGGTACAGGCACCCCAAGAAAGTGTTGTGACGCTGTCATGCCCCCCCCCTCCACCAATATACAGTATGTTAAGTCCAAGTGGAAGCCTTGCATATTTCCTGTTTCCCATTGCACTGAGCAAGTTGTTTCCTGACTAAATCAGCAGGA